TTTCACAAACAGCAATCCATGCATTTTTGGAATAGCAATTTCTTCCCACAGCATAATAATACTAATCTGTAAGAAAGACAGTAATTAGAGGAACAGAATTTACTCTCCTATAAAAGATGTTTATAATGTATGTCTATTGACAACTTGAGTGACTTTGATACTACAGAAACACACGCCGCCTTAAAAGTACCATCCACTGTATAGTTCAGTCAGTGTACAGGTCACAAGAAGTCCACTCCTCTGTTCAATATCCCCATAAAACCTTAAAGCAGTCTGAAAGATCTATTTGCTTCCACTATGACATCTTTTGGAAGAAAAGAAGACAGCTTAATAAAAGCCTTAGCTCAACATCCAGTTCTGGTTAAAACAGGAAAAATCAAAAAGAACCTTCAAACAAAATGCTGCATAAAGTATATAGAAAGCACTGGTAAGGATCTTCTACCAAAGAAATGGTGCAGCTTTGTCTTCCATATAGGTCACTGTCGCAGTAAGCTGTTATCACAGAACAACAAAGATTTTGAGAAGGCCACTGAGAAACTGTCTAGAAGTCCTGGAAAGACTCTCATGCAAAACTGCAAAGGAAACAATTTTAAAACTGTTTGCACAGGAAAAATAAGACAGAGCATGACAAATGTATGCAAAATAATAAGTGGCATACTGAAGGCACTCAAAAGCTGCTCTTCTTCTGGACACAGAATACACAAAGAAAGAAATAGTTAAAGATGCTGGAAGACAGCAGGTTTGAAATTGAAAAATGATTTTTTTCAATATAAAGCATAATGAGACTATGAAACTTCATCAGGAAACTGTTACAGTCAGTAATCCAAGAAAAAAAAAATGCTACTGTAAATGTCTATGAATGAAAAGAATAAACAAGACTGTATAAGCAAATGTTAACAAGAGTGAAACAAAATTGGAGAGGATATTACGCATCCTACCTGGGATTCTAAGCCCATCTCTGGCTATTACGAATGAAATAAAATCTTCAAGTGGGGGGCAAGTTATGCTTGGTATTTTCATGGCGAAGGTGATGACCCCTTCTGAGGAGTATCCAGTGTTGGCCTATTACTTGACATTTAACGTGTTTCCTCTCTGGGCTTCATGTCGTCTTAGCTCAGTCACCTACTGCTTTAACTAAGATATTTGTTTGGATTTTAGGGAAAACAATCCCCTACTTCCAATAGTCCCAAAATTGCTGTCACTATTTTTCAGCCTCACTTAGTACTTACTTACATGTGTGATTTGCTGCTCATTACTTCATTACTACTACAGAACTTATTGCTAGTATAATTTGTTAAAACTATTAAATTAGACAGCTAATTTAAAGGAAAACTAACCCTCAACAAAATAAAAAGTAATAACCTGGGTTAGATTTAGAGCTCCTCAAATAGATATTGGTCCCCTAAAGAGAAACTAAGGAAAGATTCTGACTATCAGCATGGGATTAACATTTGCTATGGTGCAACTGTATGTACCCCACTACACTAAATTTGCCCACTCAGCTATGGGGATTGCTGGCTTGGAACAAACTGCATCTGTGTGAGATACAATTGGTTCTGGCCTCCAAAACAACATAGCTGCATGAGAACCACCTGTGGAGAATGGTTTCTGGAATGCTCTACCACCAAACTACAGCGAGGAATGGTTTAGCAAGAGCACTCACTCATTTTAACACACAAAATCCGTGCCACAGGATGGTCTACACTTTCCTCACAAGTACTTCTTCCCAGTAGCTAGAAAAGTCACTAGGATTTGAATTTGTTGGTAGAGCTGAAGCTGTGTACCATGCATCATGTCAACTGGTCAGAAATGCATGGCCACTGGCCTTTCCAGTTGCAGATCCGCAGTTAAAAGTCACTGTCCTTGTATCCGTATCAAGCAGGTAAGTGGATGCTTTTTTGTGACAGAGGAGCATTTAAAGAACATACTGATCTTAGGTATCACCACAAAAATCTGCCCAGGTTTCTACGTGTGGTAGACTTTCTTTTCCAGACATCTGGTTCGATAACACTGAAATGGGAAATTTAATTTCCTTTTTTGCCACTGGGAAATCACAATCTTTATAGATTTGAAAATTAAGATCAGTTTTGCAATAAATACACAATCAGTGAAATCACTAATGATCTCATTTATAATTTTAATCACTTATATGGGTAAAAGGTCAAGGAGTATTAGAAATACTGACAGGATGTCTGCTGATGCATATGACAGAATACCAGCTTTGGGAATGTACCCTGACTGCAAAATCAATCACCTTGCTTAATTGATTCAGGAACAGAATATCAGACATGAAAAGAACCTCAAGATAAAAAACCCTGTACAAAAGAAGTATAATAAGATTTTTGGAAATCTAAGCAGTTTAGATAAAGATATGTGTCTTGAAATGAGGTAATTTTAATTTACCTTTTTTATGAGGGAACTACTTTGACAGACTTTTTACTCAGTTTATAGTGAGCTCAGAATTGAATTGCCAAACTTTATGCAACAGAGGAATTTGTATCAAAGGAACTTTGAGCTATCATATAAAAGAGTTTTATTAAGTTCACCGCTGGAAGTCCCATACTTCTTCCTGAATGCAGAGACCTCATCTGCTGCTTCTCATAGCTGACATTCTTAGAGATCTTCTGAACACCCATTGTATATGATTTATTATCACATCTTAAATCAGATTATCTGAAAAGAACAGAATTTCATTCTCCCCCAGAAAAGTAACTGTTCACATAAACTTTTCTTAAATCACTTTAGCTGTCTTTTGGGGTTCTAGTCTCCCCACAGTGAATCTGAATCACCCGTGTGAAAGCTCTACTTTCTTCTGAATTTGATATAAACACACTGTGCTGATTAGCAGGATCATAATCTTGCCTACTCTCTTAGTCTTGAGACTTTTGAACTACTTAAAGGCTGGCAACAACTACCCTCTGCCTTCAGGACTGCACCATGAACTCAGTCCCCTCTCTTTACTGAGTGTTCTAATGAAATATGACCATTAAAACAAAAGGAAGTCAGTATGACTGTTGCTGGCAGTCAGCTCCACTGGATGGCCATCCCCAGAATCAGGGCTAGATGGAAGAGAAGCCAAAAGAGTGGAAAATATGCAACTTTTCCATGTGCCTAGTGGAAGAGGTAGACATAATTTAACTAGAGTAAGTTAGTGGAGCTGCCTATGTTATCTATGCAATTGAGTTAAAGAGTATGGTCACAGTTAATGAAACTGAACATCCATATTTTAAGGTGTTTGAAGACACTTTCCAATCAGTATATAAAGGACATAACAAATATAAGTAGTTATTTGAGCAGGACTGCGTTGGCTCCTGACACTTCAAATTACAGACAAGCATATAAATGGAGCACATAATTTAGGCAGATTGGATTCAGTGCTTACCCACTCTGATTTGAATGAGTGGATTTATGTTTTATGTGCAAATGGAACTGGATCCATGACTGAGTCTTTAACCTTCTAACTCAGTAACAGTTGGCTTCCAAATGCAACAATAACATGAGATTTTAAGAAACATACTGTGTGCTTTATTGCACAAAACACAAAATTTGCCACGAGTTTCTCCTTAGGCAAGCACTTTTCCTAAATGAGTTGCACATAAAAAAACACCAAACCAACCAAACCAAAAACCAAACCAGCTTCTATTTAAGTGCAAATAGATAATGCAGATCATCCACGGATCCTGAAGGAGCTGGTGAATGAAGTTGCTACGCCACTGTCCATCATATTTGAAAAATCATGGCAGTCAGGTGAAGTTCCCGATGACTGGAAAAAGGAAAATACAACCCCCATTTTCAAGAAGGGGAAAATGGATGACCTGGGGAATTACAGACCACTCAGGCAAAATCTTGGAGTAGATTCTCCTGGAAGGCATGCTAAGGCACATGAAGAACAACAAGGCGCTTGGTGACAAGGGTAGAGCATTTGACGTCACCTACCTGTACTTGTGCAAAGCATGTGACACTGTCCCTCACAACACCCTTGTCTCTAAATTGGAGAGACATCAATTTGATAGATGGACCACTTGATGAATGGCCGCACGCAAAGAGTTGTGGTCAATGGCTCAATGTCCAGGTGGGGACCAGTAACGAGTGGTGTCCCTCAGGGATCAGTGTTGGGACCAGTCTTGTTCAACATCTTTGTCGCTGACATGGATAGTGGGATTGAGTGCGCCCTCAGCAAGTTTGCCGATGACACCAAGCTGTGTGGTTCGGTTGGTACACTGGAGGGAAGGGATGCCATCCAGAGGGACCTTGACATGCTTGTGAGGTGGGCTGATGCCAACCTCATCAAGTTTAACCATGCCAAGTGTAAGGTCCTACACCTGGGTCAGAGCAGTCCCAGGCACAGATACAGGCTGGGCAGAGAAGAGATTCAGAGCAGCCTTTGCAGAGAAGGACTTGGGGGTGTTGGTTGATGAGAAAATGAACATGAGCCAGCAGTGTGTGCTCGCAGCCCAGAAAGCCAACTGTATCCTGGGCTGCATCAAAAGGAGCGTGACCAGCAGGTCGAAGGAGGTGATCCTGCCCCTCTACTCTGCTCTTGTGAGACCTCACTTGGAGTATTGTGTGAAGTTCTGGTGTCCTCAACATAAAAAGGACATGGAACAATTCCAGGGGAGGGCCGCAAGAATGATCAGGGGCTGGAGCACCTCCCATATGAAGATAGGCTGAGAATGTTGGGGCTGTTCAACCTGGAGAAGAGAAGGCTGCATGGAGACCTCATAGCAGCCTTCCAGTATCTGAAGGGGGCCTCTAAGGATGCTGGGGAGGGACTCTTCATTAGGGACTGTAGTGATAGGACAAGGAGTAACAGGTTAAAGCTTAAGCAGGGGAAATTTAAGTAAGTATTATCTCATTCATAATATAAAACACCACACGTAATACAAAGGCCAAAGACTAATATTCTTTTAAAAAACAGATCCAATACCAACCCTCAACATTGCAAGGAATAAAAAGGCTGCTATTTATAAATACAATGAAAGTTACTGTGTGGAACTTACTGTGCTGGCAGTGAATCCCATTAAATCCCTGTGGACATTTACAGACATATCCTTTGAATGTGTCACCTCGGTACGCTTCACTAATTTCACAGATCCCACCATTATGACATGGATTAGGAAGGCAGGGTCCTGAAAAAAAGAGAAGTATATATATATAATAACAACCATAATAATTTCCGTCATTTACATACTTTCATTAAAGAAATAAAATCCCTGATGTAAAATCCTATATTCTACCAACCTGCTAAGAAACACCATTCACTTATTTTGGACAGCTTGCAAGCAAGGATTTTTTGTGAACAAGAAAAAATATGAAGCATGTCACTACTCATTAATCATAATATTATTTTTTAATACAAGAGAAGACAGGAGATAGAGAAGCTAAATCTTGCTCTCCTATTAAGGATAACAAGCATTCTAACTTCTATACCACTGAGGAAATAATGTATTAATAAAATGTGCCTATCATGTACAGTGGGACATGTACAATATGCCTCAATAATCACTACATGTCAAGTTAGTAGTCTGAGGAGATCTTTGCTATGTGTTTGGGTGACTTTATGAACAAAAGCTTTTTTTATCTGGGCCAGCAGTTAGCAGCTACTAAACTAACTATTCCATTTCCATTGAGTGCCTTTTAACATACTCACTTCAAGCTGACTTCAAAAAAGGTCTTCTTACATTTTTTTTAATTTTTTTTTTAACTAACTGCATGCTAGGATACCAAAAATTTCAGCAGGAAGATCTAATTTGATAGGTTTGAAATGACCATACATACCTTTAAGTAACAGAAGTTTTTGAATTGAGATCTAAAGTTTATTCATTTAGTGGCATGTATATTAAAGCCTTTTACATCTTATTATCTTACTAATATTACCTGTAACATACCTTAGTATTTTTATAATTTTTCTTTTTCAGTCTCACTTTAAAGAACAGATGATCACTGACTGGTAAGCCTCACGTGCAAGTTTGTGTGTGAAAAGATTCACGAATTCAGCATAAAGTACGTTATTTGCAACTTCTGCCATGTACACAGAAAAGTATTCTTTGCTTATTGAAGTGCAATGTGATAATTATTCACTCATTTAAAACTGAATTAAAAAAAAAAAAAAACAACAAAGCCCGAACACCACAAACAACAAAAAAACTGAACAGAAAATAACTTCTTTCCACAGCATAATTTATAGAAAATCAGCACTGGGAATTGAATGATTTCAACTTAAAATAGCTATAAGGTTAATGTTTCTGAGGCTCTGCCTATTAGTTTGTTTTCAATTACAAACCCAAGCTTTGACAGATGCTCAGAGCAACAGCATTCAGAACATCACATTAGTGAAAGCTGCACTCTCTAAGAAAAGATTAATTCGAAAAAGATAAAAATTAACAGAATGACAAGGATATCAGAACACATTCCCTAGTTATAATTGCCCCGGTGGTTATAGCAATTTGAGAAACTACCCATGTGCACATTTCTATTAAAACTTATGTCAGTCTATTTCAGGACATAATCCCACAAAAGTTATGCTTCTGTACATTATTAAACGTAGGATATGTCTCAATGGATGCAATAAATAAAAGATGTGAATATACAGCAGCTTATTCTAAATGCAATTAGTGAAAAATTAAAAAATCAGGAAGATTGAATGAAGCAATGAAACATCCTAAATAAATGCGCTGAAGCTACTAACAACATCTAATTTTCATTAGTTAGCATTAATTTCCTAAAAAAGGACATCAGTTAGACTAATCTGCATTCTAAAAGAATGAATGATTGAAACTTTAAAAAGCCTGTATTATCATGCCTTGTTTCTCCTAGTTCTCCAGAGGACCATACTCTGAGTTCGCACATCTTCAGGATATTTAAACTGCATGAACCTTCAAGCATGTGGTTCCTTTTTTTCCCTTTTTTTACTGAGTCTATCTGATCCCTAATTCAAACTATACACGTTTGAGTGTCTTGAAGGATTTGGGCCCTAATCCTGCTGTCATAGCATTTAAGAATAAAAAAATAGTACATAAGATTTGGCGCTTTTGCCAGACGATGAAAAGCCCCAACTAACTTCCATAGGCATATTTAAATAACATTGCATTGAATGCTGGATAATTAATCTCCTGACAATCTAATTAATATTCTCGATTACTCGGATCTATAGCAGCAAGTTCAAAACCATCCTTCTTTACCAAAAAAAATAAAAATCCAAACTTGTCAACCAGTTTTCAAAAAACAATGGTTTTTCAGGGATTTGGTTTTCTAAATCAATAGCACTGTAATACTTTTGTAGGTAATCTTTAAATGGCTTCCAACACAAAGAGAACAGCAACACTTGATCAATATTAATGAGCAGTAGAATTCAATGGCACACTTTCCAGGCATTTTTATCCATGCTCATATAAAATAACATCAACAAGATTAATTGTGCATTCCCAGTAATAGATCTATTCCTTTTGCTGCTCTTTTGAGTTCTTCTTTGTGCAGTTACAGTCGTATTAGCCAATATAATCAGTATAGTCCAAAACATGTCAATCTATTATTCAATTGTAATCCTATGCTGGTTTTGAAAAACATATTGAAGATTAAGTTAAAGCACAGCAGGTTTTAATTTGTTTAAGTGCTTTTACTAGAGATCTTGGAGACTTCATAGATGGACAGATCAAAAAAAAGCATCCTCAGTAGAGTTGCAAAGGGGCTCAAGGCAGAACCCTGTTATTTGTTTACTTTTTTGATAAGTGAAGTCAAGTTAAACTTCGTAAAAATAAAATCTTGTATAGTGAAATACTGAAGTTGTAATTAAATATTTCCAAGAAACATTAGTTTGCCTATAGCAAGAAAAGCCTGGAAAGCAAAGAAAGCATCATTTCATCAATAAGAATGTAATTTCTGCATGTGTTTGTATCTGTACATGTGAGGTACGGCACTAATTACTGTCCCCTCTAAGTGTTCAGGATGCATCAAAATAAAAAAAAAACAAAACAAACCAACCAAACAAACAAAAAACAACAAACACACAAAAAAAAACAAACCCACCCCCCAAAAAAAAAAAACAAAACCCACCCCAAAACCCCCAACATATTTCTCAAGCCTCCACCAAAGAGTTTTTGTTTTTTTTTTTCCAAATATAAAATCTGCAGATGCTTTGTTGGGAAAGACATTAAAAAATATGAGGCAGTTAAAAATGATGTAGTTAAACACGAACTCTACAACAGTCACATCTTCCTCAAAGTCTGATTCCTCAGACTCAAAAGTATGCTTGCTTCTCTGCTGAAAGAAGATGACCAAAAATCAAAGCCCATAATTTCATAATAAGACAAGATTAAATGAGGAATATGAAAAATGTTAAGCGAGGAAAAAAAGAAAAATGTACTCCACTGGAGTGACACACGCCAAATAATCACATTTGCTAAACATAAAATCAGAGACAGTGTAATATGAATGTTAGCACTTTTGATGGTATCTATCTCTCTATCCATCTTCTCTTCATGTAGAAATAATGTAATTTTAATGAAAAATTCTGAATTAGATATTGACCTTGAAATACACCAAGATGAAGATACTGTTAGCTACAAAGTTGACTGCTTCATTTATTTTGTGGAGTATTACTGAAGTAGGACTAAACAGATAATAATACTCTGATGACACAGTAAGCTCCAAATCCCATCAAAATAAAGACTGGAGTTAACAGCAAACTAATAAAAAGTATAAAATTATTTTATATTTAATTGTAAAAGTAAAATAATCCCTAGGTGCTTGCCTTCACATCACTAGCTTTTCTTAAGTACCTCTTGGCTCTACATGAATGTCAGTCGAATACAGTGTTTTTCCTCTCTGGTATGTTGGAAACTTCATCAGAGATCCCTCACACAGTTTCGACATCAGGAGTTTGAAGTCCTCCCTCCACCCATGTTTCGATAATACATAATACTTTTGACATGTCCTTTGTCAAAGCAAGGTCTTCAAAATAAGGTGTGACAGAGCTCATTTAGCAAGAGCTTTTATATTTCGAAATGAATATGTGCAGAAGAAGACAGTGGCACGTATGACTTCTTTCAACTTTACAGGAAGAGATGAATTAATCTCCTTGCTGCTGGAGCCAGCAGAATGTATAAGCTTCCTATGATGAAGGAGGTGAGCTTACAGTTTTCAAAGTTTGACATACAAAAATCTAAAGTAAAATATAATTCTATTTGAAAGAGACTGTCTTCCATAGAGACACACAAATGAGCATTCAGATCCAGCAGGAATGCCCCTACAGGTTCTGATAGAAAGCTAGTTTATTGCACAAAAAGGGCAGGAATATGACAAAAGCTTCTGAGGGTCTCTGATGTTCCTCACATTTACTACTTTGGCTATTAATTTAATATGATTGTGTAGGGCTCACCTGTCAGAGGCTGGTTTTGAATGTCCCTATCTGTGTGTCTGTGTGGGATACTTCAGAGACCATTTTAACAACCTGACAGAAACGATCCTGCATTTGCTGAGTTCTGGGTATCATTAAATCATACCAAAATGCATACTCATATCTTGGCCTAACTATAGGTTCAAGCACACAAGTATGACATACCCATTACAGCAATGCAGCGCAGGGAGTCAGATCTCACTAGTACGCCTACTTCGAGCTATGCACCACCTTTGTGGTTAAGGTTCAACTCAAGTATTTTGTAGATTTCACCTGTATTTAGAAGAAAACTACCATTTTCCAAGAACACTTTTGATGTAGTTGTTCCATACTTGAAACTACAGCTACTTCTTAGCTGCCTGTTTTCCATTGCACTGTTTGAGGACATCTGAAGATAGCTATTACAGCATATGTGCTATCGACCTTTTGCCACAAGGGGCTGTAACAATGAAAATGGTGTCGGCTAGTCAATATGGTCATTCTGTACTTAAGTATGAAGCATTTTCAGTAAAGAACGAATGCAATGTAGTTCTGCTTTTGCTCTTTCTTACTCATATTTTCCACCCCCCCTTAAATGTCACTCTGTATTCAAAATCTGCATAAAAGAATCCTAAAATTCCAGACTGGTTTGGGTTGGAAGGGACCTTAAAGCTCACTCAGTTCCAACCCCTGCCACAGGCAGTGCCACCTTCCACTAGACCAGGTTGCTCCAAGCCCCATCCAATCTGGCCTTGA